GTGGAACACAGGGACCCAACTCGGGCGGCTCGTGGGCAAAGAGGGGTCTGAGTATGCAACGCTTACCTGGTTCCACGGTTTGGCAGATGGTGCGTGAGTAGGGCCTTTGATGATGCTCTCGAACCGCCCGCTGCTGCCTGCTGGCGAGAGAGGAGGATGAGTGTGGTCCATTGTTGGTCCGTCCGCAACTCTCCGTGCCCTCTTGGAACCCAGAGACAGAGAAAACCGTTCTCTCGTCGAGATTTTTGGAAACCAGATTCTCCACCCTGCCCTGGTGGTGCATTCACCATACCCCAAAGAGCAGTTCCCTCTCTCTCTGGGTCGACCGTCCCGGCCTGCCTACGCCCAGCTCCATGGCGCCGCTTGCTCGAGGCTGCTGCGGATGCGGCACAGGAGCGGGGGTTAACGCAGGTGGCCACCCTTGGCGACGAGGCAGAAGCTGCCCCCCGGGGCAGGATGTGACGAATCACCTCAGTCTGCTTCTGTGCAGCCAAGGCACCGGGGCAGGGTGCTGAGAACCAGTGCAAGCCACCCCGAGAAACCAATTGTCCAACCTCGAGGGCTCGGGACGTGGTGGTTTCCACTCAAGCCCTACCCTCTCGGCGGCCCGCGAAAGCATAGCCGACATCTCCGGATCCGATTCAGGCGTTGCCACCATCCCAGAGGGCGGCAGCGCAGCTGAATCTTCCTCTCTAGAGAGCTCTCTCTCCGATGCAGTGATCGACATCCGGTCATCGAGAGGAGCACCGAAGGATACCGCTGGTATGCTCTTTGAAGAGGGTCTAGCGTGTTCCTTTGGCGGCTTGACTGGTTGCGAAGTGCTAGAGGAGTGATGGTCCCCCAAGGGTTGGCTCCCTGAGGGGTTTTCCACTACTGTAACCCTCAGACCGCCTGTGCTACTGCCCGAAGGAGCCCTCGCCTGGCTGCCGTCAGGATGAACACTAGATCGCGGCAGAGGTAATGGAGCCTGGCCCGCAGCTCCGAGATGGTCATCTTCCCGCAATGGGAACATGACTCATCCACGAATGCCACCTCAGTGTGTTTAATGCTCAGACATGTGAGGCAGTGATCGTGACCATCACCCGGCGCCAGGTAACGACCGCATCCAGAAATGCACGGGTGAAACGGCATCTTTAAAAAGACGATCCATCTTTACAAAGACGCACCCGTGTAAGCTCCTTTAGAGAAATAGGCTTTTTCAGGGAAATGCTCTTTTAGGTGCTGAGACGCACAGGGGAAATGGCCGCTTTCAGCACGACAGGGGGTAGTGCAGCTTGAATTGCGCAACCCACTCGACACAGGAACGACCACCGCTGAAGCGCCTTCTGCCAACACAAAATGCTCCCTAGAGCGCGTTGAACTTGTCGTCACAAGCGAAGATATTGGTAGGAGCAGAACGATGTTATTGCTCGGCTCCGAAGCGAAAAGCTGGTATGCGTTGCACCGGCTGCCTTTTTATGCTCACACTGTGATCAGCGGCAGCTGGATGCAATCATCGCATGCGCATTGGCTCGTTTTGTTTACACTCTAAGTGGATTGGTCTCTCTAAGTGAGATCCCAATTCGTCGGTCACTGACGTGACGTAGAGAGTGACCGACTGAAGAGGAATTGGTGTTTTTTCCAAACAAAGGAAATATATCGGTATTGGCATGGGTTATCGGCCAAAATGAGTTGAAAAATATCGGTATATCGGATATCGGCAAAGATCTGTGCATACCTAATATATATGTGTATATATAAAAGGTATATGTCATGTTTTTAAATATAATTGTAATTAAACATTTGTAATGATGATGAAATATAAAAATTTAAATATAACAGTGAATAACAAAGTACAGTTTGTAACAAACTACAAAATTATATTCAAGTACTTTAAATGTACATTAGTACAGTATGTTAGTGAACATCAAAATATGCATACTTTTTTAAGGCATGACAAAATGATTTACATGATTTAAAATGTACTTTAAACTAAGTGGCCTTTTATTTTAGCAATATTATATTATCTACAAGTACAGTTTTTTGAAAAATATATACTTTAAGTAGGCAAGTACATTCAGTAGAATTAAGGGTAACACTTTATTTTAAGGTGTCCTTGTTACATGTACTTACAATTATATTATTAATAAATTATGCATAATTACATGCAAGTAAACCTAAACCAAACCCTAATCCTAACCCTAATCATATGATAAGTACATGTAGTTAATTAATATTACTCAGTGCTTAAATGTATAATTACACTGTAACAAGGTCACCTTAAAATAAAGTGTAACTGAATTAAGCACAGTTCTTGTTAAGAAGGGTGAAGCTTTCAACCTTCAGAAAACAATGTAAAAACACCATAAAAGTATCATAAAAGTGGTCCACACAACTCGAGTGGTATAATTCCAGCTCTTTGAAGTCATACGGTAGCTTTTTGTGAGGAACTTATGTCATTATTCACCGATAACCTACCCTCTCTCCTGTTGTCCACTGTGACCAGAACATTTTGCGGTGAACTATTCCTTTGAAGCACAATCAGAGTGTTTATGTTATCAAGAATAAAAGAAATCCTAAAGAATGCCCAATCAGTGCACATTATCATATTTCAACATTACATGATGATGATGAATTAAAAGCCTCTCTCTCTCCGACAGTACTGCTACAGTAAAGCAGAGGCCAGACGTGACGCAGCTCGTATCGCTCTGATGAACTCCACATTTAATGAGTTGCCCTGCCGCCGTATCACTCCTGAGTTCATATCACGCAGTGTGAAAGAAGCCGTCAGCACCACCAACGTGAGTCTCATTACTATTAAGCTGCTTATCAACAAATCATCAAGTTTGCAGTTCAAATTGCTGAGATTTACATGATGTTTAGGGCTTCTTGACGGGTGAGTATGTTATTAACAGTAGCAAGAAATATTACACTGTAACAAGGTCACCTTAAAATAAAGTGTAACTGAATTAAGCACAGTTCTTGTTAAGAAGGGTGAAGCTTTCAACCTTCAGAAAACAATGTAAAAACACCATAAAAGTATCATAAAAGTGGTCCACACAACTCGAGTGGTATAATTCCAGCTCTTTGAAGTCATACGGTAGCTTTTTGTGAGGAACTTATGTCATTATTCACCGATAACCTACCCTCTCTCCTGTTGTCCACTGTGACCAGAACATTTTGCGGTGAACTATTCCTTTGAAGCACAATCAGAGTGTTTATGTTATCAAGAATAAAAGAAATCCTAAAGAATGCCCAATCAGTGCACATTATCATATTTCAACATTACATGATGATGATGAATTAAAAGCCTCTCTCTCTCCGACAGTACTGCTACAGTAAAGCAGAGGCCAGACGTGACGCAGCTCGTATCGCTCTGATGAACTCCACATTTAATGAGTTGCCCTGCCGCCGTATCACTCCTGAGTTCATATCACGCAGTGTGAAAGAAGCCGTCAGCACCACCAACGTGAGTCTCATTACTATTAAGCTGCTTATCAACAAATCATCAAGTTTGCAGTTCAAATTGCTGAGATTTACATGATGTTTAGGGCTTCTTGACGGGTGAGTATGTTATTAACAGTAGCAAGAAATCTCATGTATGTTCCTGCTCGGTTGTAGATTACTTTTTGTGTATACAGCTCTAAAAGCTTTCCAGTCTATAGAAACAGTATAATTTGGAAGTACGGAAGGCCACCCACTGTAGTTATAGATCCATGTCTTTGCACTGGCTCCATCTCACATGCTCCATCTCATTCCATATAATGAAGAACCAAGAAGCAATTCCAATGATAAATTGGCTTTGTACCAAAACAAAATAACATCTACAAAGAAAAAAGTCTTGTCACCCTCCCTCACCCCAAATCTGAATGTAGCTGCCAAGATTTTTTACATTCTGTGGGATTGTGTGTGTGTATATGTGGTCTCCCTTCACTCTCATGTCATTTATCCTCTGCAGTCTTGGCCTTTTCTCCTCCAACAATAAAGACAAGTTGCTCCGACTGAATAACAAAGCAAAGGGGTGTCTAATGAAACCCAGACCTCCCTCTGTAGTTGTGTCTGCTCAGGTTGAGTGATGACATGTCTGTAAGTCATTGTGTCCCACTGTTCACAGGGTAACATTGCAGATGCGTCTGACCCTGGTACCAGTATAGGAGCGTACTGTCTCATGCTGGAGCTGAACACTGGGAAAACCATGCTGGAATTTCAGGTTAGAAAAAAATATTGTAACCTTGCTGAAAACACTGGTCCAGACTGGTTTACGCTGGTTGGGTGCTGGTCTAACTGGAACGTTTGCCAAAGCTTGTTGACCAAGAGAAATCTTGCTGGTTAATGAAGTATTAGTTGATCCATAAATCTGACATCATTTATTCACCCTCATGTGCTTTCAAATCTGTATGACTTTCCGTATGACACAAAAGAAGGTATTTTGAATGATGTTCCAGTTGCTCTTTTCCATGCAATGACAATGAATGGGCACTGGACCATTGAAGCTACAGACAGGATACAAAAGCAGCAAAAAAAACAACAACAACAACATAAAAGTAGTCCATATGACTACTGACTACTCTTCAGTAGTTATATGATTGATAGCTTTTGAAGAACAGACTGAAATTTACATGTAATTCAGTGATAGTCTTAATATCAGCTCTGCTCTACATGAAGCATCAATGAGAGACATAGTAATTTCTGATTTGTTAACAAATCATTATTTTGAATCTGATCTTTTTTTATTCGTAAAGTCAATTTTATTTCATTGCTTTTCACAATGCATGTTTCAAAGCAGCTTTACAGAAAATCATGATATCAGTGTTTATAATATCTTATTATCTTCATTCCTTATAGTCACATTTAGCATATTAAAGATGGCTTATAATGTAGCTTATACTTTGCAATGATATAAATAATTGAGATTTTTTAAATAGTATATATCGCTTAACTTGTGTATACTTTATGTATGCAAATAAAGATACAATTATCAAATACATCCAAATATATAGAGAGAGCTTTGCAATAATGCAGTTAACATTTTTAATGATACAGTATATACAATCATGAAGTTGAGGTTTGCTATATATTATTGCTTATAGTGTGCTGTATGTATGCAGGTAAATTTGGATGTACTATAGATCTCAGTTTAAATATATTGCTGGATCATAATATAGTCTAAATTATGTGAATATATAAACAATTAGGCAATTTAGTTTTTCTATATAGTGTACAGTATATAGCTCTATACAAGTGTACTGTACAGTATATATGCAGATGAAGCTGGATATAGTAGTTCTTGGTTGGAGTTATTAATTCATTATGTGGTGATACTAAAGATTGTGAAACCTGTAGGGTTTTGTTGAAGTGACAAGCCTAATTACTATGTGGTGATGTGTATCACTGCTGCAGATAATTGGTGCATATAAATGTGTATTTCAAATACATTTCTTCATCAGAAAAATCCTGTAAAAATATATAACATTTTATATATGTTTGTATGTATATATGTTTATATAACATTTTCCATAAAATATATATCACCTATATTAAGCTGTCAGGGCTTTGTCTGTGTTGTCTTTGTTTAATGTTTCTTTGCTTGTCTTGTGTCTTCACCCATTGCTTTGTCTTTGTTTGTGTCTGCCATGTGTTCCTGTGGTCCCACCTCCTTGTTTCCCTTGGTCACGCCCTCTTGTTTAGGCCTTGTCTTGTCCTTGTTTCTTTAATTGTGCTCACCTGGCCCTCGTGTACTTTCCTCTCTTTATATTGTGCTGTTTTTCCTCTTGCGGTTGCTGGTTCGTCTTGTGCCATATAGACAGTTACTGACTTGCTGCTCTATATTCCAGTCTTGCAGAGAACTTGCTGTTCTCTGCTCTGGTCTTCTCCCCATCCTTCCACCCTGGTTTGACCAACTACTGAGACTGTCCCCCAGACTGTCTACCTCTCAGGGCATTGATCTCTCCCTGCTGGTTGGAGCTGTCCCAAGATTGTCCACCCCTGTGCTGTGAACTTGTGTGTTTTCAATAAATCTTTAATTTTTTTGATCATTTTGATCCCTTCCTGCTGATCCTGAGAGAACGAACCAGCCACTCAAGGACCCAGCAGAATGAGTTTTAGAATTGTTCCACCTGCCACTGCAGAAGGGAGATTGGTGCTCCAACAGGGACTGGCATTGCTTCGTCAGCAGGGCCAGGAACCCCGGTCGTTTGCTCAAATCTTTTGGACCATGGCTAAGGGCCTTGAATATGATGGTGCATCCCTGAAGGAGGCCTTCAACCTCACTCTGGATGACCCCTTGCCGTGATGGGAGATGGGAAATTGGCTGAACCCACTGCGGTCACCCCTGAGTCAACCAAGTCCCCTGAAGCGGTCAAGCTCAAGGTAGTTTCGAGAGAAGTCTCCCAGTCAACCTCTGTTCCCGTGTCTGTCAAGTCTGTCCCAGTTAAGTCAAAGTCAGCCATGTCCAGTCTTGATAATCCTGTGTCTGTCAACCCAAGTCACGCAAGAAGTGGGCGATCCGATAACCTCCTGCCCCGGGAGGCCTAGGGGTAAGAGGGCCCATGCCAGGAGGGCTAGAACCCTTTGTTCAGAGACCCCTCATGCACTTATCCTCAAGTTGCCTGCTGCTTCGGTCATGGCCCTGGAGTCCAGTTCTGAGCAGCCCGCACTTCCTGTCATGGCCATGGAGGCCAGTTCTGAGCGGCCAGGTCTCACTGCCACAGGCTCAGAATCTGTTCCAGTCCTCCAGTCTTTAGATTCAGTCTTAGAGTCCACGGCAGTCCCAGACCCAACTCTAGCCTCAAAATCCACCCCAGATTCATCTCCAGTCTGCTTCAGTTCCAGACTTGCCTCCACTCCCTGAGTTTACTCTAGAGCTAGTTCCAGTCCCGGAGTCACCAAGGTCCATCCCAGAGTCGACTTCAGAGCATGTCCCAGTCCAGGAACAGCCAGAGATTGTCCTAGAACCAGTTCCAGAGCCAATGCCAGTCCAGGAGCCAGTCTCAGAGTTTGTTCCAGAGCCAATCCTAGATCCAGAATCTGCTCCAGAGCCAATCCAAGACCTGCCAGAATCCTCCTCTCTCTCGGTCAGTCTTGTCATAGGCAGGGAGGCTGTCCCCTGCCTTGCTCCATAGTCATCAGAACTACCCACCTTTCCTATCAGTGGAGTTATGGCCTCAGAGTTAACCTCTAAACCCATTCTCAACACCGAGCCTACTTTCAATGCTAAGGCCATTCCTGCTCCCCAAGCAGCAGACAGCACCCTGCCCTACTCCACGATTTTTAAGCCATCATTGGCCAAGCCAGTCAATACCCCCAGATTCACCACTTCTATTTCTTCAGCTCCACCTTCTATACAACCAAACACTTGCGGTTCTCACACCCCACCAGTAGCCTTCCATTCTGCCCTGCCAGACTATAACACTTGATTTATTCTCACCCTCCTCACCCCCTCTCCTGTGTTGCATGGCTCTGCTATGCCTGCTCCCTTCAAGTCTGCCCAGTTGGTACCACCTTGGTTCCCTGTTGTGTCACCACTTCCCTGAACTGGTTTGGATGCCAGGAGGCGTCCATTGGGAGGGGGGTACTGTCAGGGCTCTGCCCTGGCAGCTTTGTCTGTGTTGTCTTTGTTTAATGTTTCTTTGTTTGTCTTGTGTCTTCACACATTGCTTTGTCTTTGTTTGTGTCTGCCATGTGTTCCTGTGGTCCCACCTCCTTGTTTCCCTTGGTCACGCCCTCTTGTTTAGGCCTTGTCTTGTCCTCGCTTCTTTAATTGTGCTCACATTAAGCGGCATCAAAATTGATAATAATGAGAAATGTTTCTTGAGCAGCAAATCTGCATATTAGAATGATTTTTGAAGGATCATGTGACACTGAAGACTGGAGTAATGGCTACTTTTAGCTTTGTCATCATAGGAATAAATTACATTGTAAAATATTTTCAAATGGAAAACAGTTAGTTTAAACTGAAATAATATTTCCCAATATTACTGTTTTTGCTGTGATTTTGACCAAATAAAAGCATCCTTGGTAAGCTTAAGACTTCTTTAATGAGTTACCATTAAAAAATCTTAACTGACCCCAAACTTTTGAATGGTAGTGTATATAATTATACGACCAGGGGACAGTGGAGATTATTTGTGAATGACTTAAATCTAAGTCTGTTTCTCTCTCAAAACTATCATAATGTTTCATTGCGCAAGTCATATGAACCACTTTAATGTTATGGTTATGGCTTTTGTGTCCTCTTTGAAGCTTGAAAGCTTCAGATACATTGTGATAAATTGTTACGTACTGTATTACATGTTTATTAGCATTAAAACCCCATAATTAGGCTGATATTTGGCGTGCAGATATTTCATAATGTTTAAACTGTCAGAACTTTAGTCATGCTACACATTCTGTCAAAAAGAGTGAAAACAAATAGCAGCATTCTTGCTTAAATTAAAGACTACTTGTGTGGCAGGATACCATTTTCTTCTTATGAATGCTGAGCAAAATCTATTTGTGGATGTTCTCCAGAGCTTATAAATGAGCACCAGCTCCTGTGTATAGGGGGAAAAACCGATCATTTACACGCTGTATGCACAATGAGCCTCTGTTTCACACATAAGTCTGCAGTAATCCTCATATGACATCAGTCTGAAGTGAAGAAATGCTAAAGCAGTACTGCATCTGTTTAGACACTGTAATGTGTTAAATATGATCAGCATACTTCAAAAATAACATCATGTGTTGATGTCTCGATGAATTTGATTATGCTGTAGGTCTTCTAGTTCTGGTAAGTGTACCAAAATGTTTTGTCCAAATACTTTGAAATTTTGCATCAAAAAAAGCAAAAGGTCAATATGAAAATTATATATTTTACATAAATAAACAAACAAATATACGGCTATACTTTTAAACTGACTATTTTTAAAAAATTTTTTAAATGTGCTATATTTTAAATTAACTTTGACTACACACACTGATACAAACTAGTGTAATATTAACTTTTTGGTCTGCTTTGTTTTTTTGTTTTTTTAAGGAAATAATGACAGTTTTTCAACTTTTGCACTGGAATGGCACTCTGAAGGCTTTTCGGGAGATGAGATGTAGCCGTCAGGTAAGAATAACTTTTTTTCTAATCTTTTCTGAATAAAATGTGAGTGGTGCTTTGCAAAGCTTTCCGCCAAGATGCTGTAGGTGTTGTAGGTGGTTTCCGTGGGTGTTGCCGTGCAGCTGTTAAGGCCTTCTGAGTAGTTATTAGTTTTACTATGAGGTTATTAGGGTATTGCTGTTTGACCCAAGTAAAAAAGCCTATTCCCAAGTTCCTGTCAATAGGTCCAGTGCTGTCAGTTTTATGTCACACCTTCTAATTGTTGTTTACTGTAAATGTCTCTTTTAAAGGACGTGATCCACTACTACTCCCAGCAGCGTCTGGACGAGCGTACGCGCAGCCACATGGCACTGGACTGGTTACAGAAGGAGCAGCAATCCCCCGGCTTGCTCTCCCAGGAGCTGCAGCTGGCCGTGAAGGAGCTGGGAGAGGCCGGGCGAACAGGCAGGGAACTCCGCTTCTACAAGGAGAAGAAAGAAATCCTGAGCTTAGCTCTTAGTCACGCTAATGCTGAGGATCTGGAGGGCTACCCCAGTGAGGAGATGTCCTGGAGAGAAGAGACTGAGTTTGAGTTCTACACTCAGGAGGGACACTGTCTGGAGGGGAGTATGACCGATCCTTCAGAGCACTGCCAGTTTCACTCTCAGGAGAGCGATAGAGAATCAGTGGAGTGAGCTCTGTGAGACAAGATGTATATACTGTACATAATGGTCTTTTTTATATATATATATTTTTAAATCATGTGATATCATATAGCTTTTTCAGGCATCTTTCATATACTCTTAAAAATAAAGGTTCCAAAATGTGATTTTGACAGCGAAGCCATAAGAACAACTTTGGGTTCCCCAAAAGAAACTTTCAGTGAACAGTTCTTAAAGGGATAGTTCACCCAAAAATGAAAATTCTGCCATTAATTACTCACCCTCATGTCGTTCCAAACCCGTAAGAGCTTTGTTCATTTTCAGAACACAAATTAACATATTTCTGATGAAATCTGAGAGCATTCTGACTCTCCATAGACAGCAACGCAACTACCACATTCAAGGCCCAGAAAGGTATAAAGACATCGTTAAAATAGTCCATGTGACCATCAGTGGTTCAACATTAATTTTATGAACGAGAATACTTTTTGTATTCTCATTCATAAATGCTTTTTTCTTTCATAAATGCTTTTTGTGCTGAAAGAAAACAAAAATAATGACTTTATTCAACAATTTCTTCTCATTCCATTCATGACAGTACCACGACACATGCGTGTGCATTCCTCTCTTTGCAAACAAGGGTTGAGACTAGATGGGATACAGCTATGGCCACCAGAGCTTACATGTGTTAGTCTTTGTGCAAATACTCACCCTCATGTCGTTCCAAACCCGTAAGAGCTTTGTTCATTTTCAGAACACAAATTAACATATTTCTGATGAAATCTGAGAGCATTCTGACTCTCCATAGACAGCAACGCAACTACCACATTCAAGGCCCAGAAAGGTATAAAGACATCGTTAAAATAGTCCATGTGACCATCAGTGGTTCAACATTAATTTTATGAACGAGAATACTTTTTGTATTCTCATTCATAAATGCTTTTTTCTTTCATAAATGCTTTTTGTGCTGAAAGAAAACAAAAATAATGACTTTATTCAACAATTTCTTCTCATTCCATTCATGACAGTACCACGACACATGCGTGTGCATTCCTCTCTTTGCAAACAAGGGTTGAGACTAGATGGGATACAGCTATGGCCACCAGAGCTTACATGTGTTAGTCTTTGTGCAAAAAAACTATTCTCGTAGCTTCATAAATTTACAGTTGAACCACTGATGACACATGGACTATTTTAAAGATGTCTTTACTACGTTTCTGGGCCTTGAACGTGTCAGTTCCATTGCTGTTTATGTAGAGTCATAAAGCTCTCAGATTTCATAAAAATATCTTAATTTGTGTTCTGAAGATGAACGAAGGTCTTATGGGTAAGTAATTAATGACAGAATTAACGACACAATTCATTTTGGGTGAACTATCCCTTTAAAAGAACCATCTTTTCTTAGTGTGAAGAATTAAAAAATTCTAAAGAACCTTTTTTCACTGTAAAGAACTTTTTGTGCAATGAAAAATTTTAACAGATGTTAAACGTTTTTCTTGGAATCATAGATGCCATTAAAGAACATTTATTTAGAGCCTAATATGAGATAGGCTACTATATGTAGCCCATATTCTTTATTCCTGTACATTCTAACTCACAAAAATGGCAATAAAGATTGGTTGTTGCCTATATTTTTTATATATAAACATGCTGATGTTAGTATTATAAATGTTTAGTGAGTAGGCTAACTGTCTGTACGAGAACCTTTGTACTGTCGTTGTTTTGGTATTCTTCTAGCCTACCGGTAGAGGACGCTGTTTCTGTACTTTTGTAATGAAGTGTCGGTCCTAATTGAACAGGACAAAGCGCTAACAGGACTGTCGTTATTTTTTACCCGCCCTTGACTAGAACTGTGATTAGCTCATTTTTTATTTCAAACAAATGCAAACACCTAATCAGCTTCTATTGAACATTTGTTAATTAGAATCAGTCCTTTGTAGAAGCAATTGTGAATGAATGTTGGATTTGTTTGCAATGTTTTGATTAAACTGGTAACTGTGACTTATGTCCAAAAAAATGGCTTCCTGTGATGACTACAATGTATAACATGATTTGTCATTGTTTCTTGTGCAGCTTTTGTTAGGTAATTATTACACGTGAATTTTTTTTCATATTACAATGTAATCAACAAAATGGATAGGGGGAAAAAAATCTTCTCATTTGCATTTGGCTATAACAACTAATCTCAAGGATCATTACAGTGAGAACCATTCCACCACATTTTCTTGAAATAATGTGCACTTAAAAAGTAACTCCGCTAAATTTTTAAATACAAAATTAAAGCTTTGTAGTGATAAGTTCATTGGACTTTGTTTTTGACAAGTTCAAGTAAAATGACAGAAATGACAAATCACATGGATGGATACAAAGATGACACATGTCACTGACAAAAGCATTTTTACAGTGCACGAAACTAGGCCATAATAGATCTTGTTGTGCTCAACTTTATAATTTTTTTCATCACAGCGGTTGCTAGGAGACTATTGAACCTAAACCAAGAAATCTTGAGCTACAGCGAGGATGGGTATGTGTCCTCATAAAGTGCTCTTAGTGGGAATTGATAATGTTATATAAGATGCTAATTTGCCCCTTTCTAATTTTCTTCTACTTAAACTGGGCTTTAAGTTTGTTATTTTCTCCCCTTTGCCGCATAGCAAGCAATGAGATCATAGTGACAAAGGGGCCTCACTGGAGGAGAGTTGTTTTCGAAGTTTTTTTCTGTTTAAAATCATCTGCTCATCTTAAGATCCTACACAATCTTATTCTGCAAAGGTCTCATTATTATTCACCCTGAATCACTTTTCATTATGCATGATTTTGCATAAATTATATAATTACACAACAAGAGAGCTTCTCTGTAATGCACTGCTTTCACACATTCACTCTCGCCAATTTGCATTTTTTTCTCTCTCTTTTTTCACTCTTTGTGGTATGATATATCTAGTCGACCTACAGATGGGAAAAGGAGTGGGATAATGACGTCTCTGGTTTTAGAGAGTATATGGTACTCTTGGGAGGCAGAGCAATTTTCCCGATTCAGTGATTGTCAGGCACCTGAAGGGCTAAAGCCATCGGTAGAGCCGCCTTTCTTTAATTTACAGAGCAAAAAAAAAAAAAAACGATCGCTTTCAAATTGAAAAGCGTGACTTTCTCCTTTCTTTTCCTTCTCAGGACAATGAGATGTAAATTACACCATTCCGGTCTTTGGGCTGATAGGAAATGACAATAAGATCGAGAGCATTAGAGTTATTTCATACAATGGCTGTTTGAAGCTGACCAAAGGGGACGAAAATCATATTTCCTGTTTCAATATTGAATTAATAACCAGAAGGATGGAGGAACACACAAATCAAATCTGTTTTGATGCCATATTGTGATAAAGATTTTAAATGGCATTGGAAACTGTGTTTCTCAGGCTCAGATTTATTAACGTTATGAGAACATTATGGAAAATTGAAATAAAAGACCTTTTTAACCTGAAGTAATAGCCCTGTGCTTTTCAATGTTATTAAAATCCCATCGGTTCATTTTTGGCTTGGATGGCAGGGGAGATGCTTCATTTGTCTTTGCTCTGTCCTTCAAGTGGGTCAAGAAGCTACTGTGATGATTGAAAGTGCAAGACAACAAGTGAGAGACACTCTGCTGTTTGTCTCCTCTCAGCTGCGAGCACGCCTTTCCATTTTCACACAAATCCCACTGCAAATGCAATCTCCAACTGACGATGCCATCCACTCACGTTTGATGCGGGTGTAAATGCTGTTTCTGCAAAGCCTGCAGTGCTGTGGTGTCTGAAATCTCAGGAGAGCTCTGCTTCGGTCCCATGCTATGCAGAAAGACAGACTGACCCGTTCTGTATGTTCATAATTTTGCATCTTGTTAACCTTGCACAGAAGTTCCTGTCAAGGCGTCTGTGCAGTAGCATGCTGAGTGAAGCAGCATGAACGCCATGTGGCCCTTGTTTCCTTTGACATCTCTTCCAACACACCCACTCTCCTGCTCTTCACCCAGTAAAGGACATCTCACCCTTCCCTTGCCTTTTTTCCTCATTCCAGTGTCCTCATTAAACTGACAGCAACATAGTCCTTTGTAGGATGTTGTTAAAAGTACCCCAAAATGGAAATTCTGTCATTATTTGCTCACCGTTTTTTTTTTTTAACTTGTATGTTGTTGTATTTCTGTGGACCATGAAATGTGCTCTGTGTTGGTCACACAAGAAATTGTTTGTTTACTGATTCTTTAAAGGTATAGTTCAACCAAAAATGAAAATCCTGTCATCATTTACTCACCCTCAAGTTGTTTCAACCCTCTATAAGTTTATTTCTTGTGTTGAACACAAAAGAAGATATTTTGAAAAAATGTATAAAATAATAATAAAATAAATTGATGATCTTGACTTCCATAGTAGTTTTTCCCATACTATGGAAGTCAATGGGGACCATCAACTGTTTGGCTACCCATATTCTTTTAAATATCTTTTGAATTCAACAGAAAAAAGAAACTCATGCAGGTTTGGAATAACTTGAAGGTGAGTAAATGATGACAGAATTTTCACTTTTGGGTGAACTTTCCCTTTAAGCAGGTATTGTCTCAATGTATGTATACCAAGATGCAATGCATAATAAAGAAAAATAGACATACACTGCAAACAAAACAAAAACAAACAAAATCATAATTCGATTTTTATCAGAAGTTTTATTTAATCAAACAGCCCGTCATCCCACAACTCACAGTTGAAGACTGTGTGCTTATGAATGTACAACAATTTAATGAACAGAAAATTAATATCGAATAGCTTACATTTTTAGACACAAAATTGCAGATATCTTTGTCTATTTTTGTTTTGCCGATGAAAATAGTTCCAAAAAAAGCGACCACAAAAATCAGACTTATATATCTTTGAGCTACAATAAATCAGTGAATCAGGTGAGTAAACGATTCAATGACTCAAAAAAGTTCAATGACTCACTAAAGACTCTGAAAATGCTTTTGAATGAATCAATTGAACAAATGATGCAATGACCCTGAATGTTCCT